AAGAATATTTTTAAACCTCCTAAGTTTTACCCCAGGAGCCTTACAGTGCACATACATTCTTTCAATTTGTGATGAAGTAATATTTGGCTGTGGCCACAGTATTTTTGCCCTTATGTTTGTTGTGAAACACAACACACCTCCACACACAGGCTTGCTGTCAGTGCCAAAATGTGAAAACTTTGGTACCTAAACATTCTGAAAGAAAAATATGCTCTGATGCATTGGGAATGATTTCCATATTCAGTCCTGCTCTCTTCCTAAACCCTGTCTATGTAGAACTTGTATTAATCAAAAGCATCTGTTTCTTCCTCAACATTCACTTTCTCCTTAAAAACAGGTGAAGGCCCGGGTAAAAATAGCACATCTTCACACAGCAGGGACCTGTGTGTGTGTGTGTGTGCGGCGCGCACACACACACACACAAGTGCTCAAGCGCGAGATAGAATTAAATTCTTTCCATTGATGTGGTCCTTCACATACTTGAAAACACAGTTTTCTATTGAAACTGGAGTCAAAGATCAATTCAGCATCAAAAGTTACATAACTGATTACAACCATGAACCTAAGTGACAGTATTTTTTTTCTTTTTTTCGTGTTTCTACCAATGAAACTAGTATATTTGATGGTAATGTTCGCTAATCTAAAAATAGTTTCCTATCTTCTGGGATTGAATATCAATTTATATTAAATATGTATTGAATGAAAAATTTCATATGTGACTATGTGAGAGGCTTCACAAAGTCAGTTAAACTTTCCTCTGGGCTTCCTGAAACCCCTCATATGTGTACTGATGTGTGTGAGTTTGAGATGTTACAGCCCCGTTACAGTATTAGTTGAGCCACTGAGATGGAGGAGAAAGCTAGTGCTTAAATATGGTTAAAACTTCTAGATCCTTATCTTAATCAAGGGCAAAATAGTCAGGGAAGTGAAAGCAAGTCAGTGTTCCCATGGATGCCATCTTGAAGACCAAAGGTGCCCTTGCCCGGTTCATTGTATTTTCAATGGCCTCAACTGCACCCAAACCTGGACAATCAATCAGAGGCCTAAAGAAGGACTGACTCCTTTGCTTTATGGTGATGAAGAAGAATACTGACTGTATCACGGAGTGCTAGAATACCGACTGTATCATGGAGTGCTAGAATACCGACTGTATCACAGAGTGCTAGAATACCTACTGTATCATGGAGTGCTAGAATACCGACTGTATCACAGAGTGCTAGAATACCTACTGTATCATGGAGTGCTAGAATACCGATTGTGTCATGGAGCGCTAGAATATCGACTATATATCATGGAGTGCTAGAATACCGACTGTATCACGGAGTGCTAGAATACCGACTGTATCACAGAGTGCTAGAATACCGACTGTATCATGGAGTGCTAGAATACCGACTGTATCATGGAGTGCTAGAATACTGACTGTATCATGGAGTGCTAGAATATCGACTGTATCTTGGAGTGCTAGAATACCGACTGTATCATGGGGTGCTAGAATACAGACTATCATGGAGTGCTAGAATACCGATTGTATCATGGAGTGCTAGAATACCGACTGTATCACGGAGTGCTAGAATACTGACTGTATCACGGAGTGCTAGAATACCGACTGTATCACGGAGTGCTAGAATACCGACTGTATCATGGAGTGCTAGAATATCGACTGTATCTTGGAGTGCTAGAATACCAACTGTATTATGTAGTGCTAGAATACCGACTGTATCACGGAGTGCTAGAATATCGACTGTATCACGGAGTGCTAGAATACCGACTATACCACGGAGTGCTAGAATACCGACTGTATCAC